TCCGCCACAAGAATCCCGCCCCCTTGATAAATGACCAATCACAATCACTTTATTCACTCGCGTAAAGTCGTGCACCACTCGGGAGAATTCGGAAATGCAACCGCTGGAACGGCCGCTTCCCTACGACTTTAAACTTGTGGATCTCTTCCTTACAAAGGATGGAGTTTACAAGTAACATTGTTTTAATAGTTGTTTTTTTTTTAAGAAAGGATATATTTTAAGGAGCTGACAATTTAGGTTGATCTCTAAACATCACAAAGATCAGGCTGCCTCTGCACCATTTTCCACCAACATTTTTCCTTCCACTCAACTTTCCATCAACATGATTGGATAGAGCACCCTGTGAACACCTAAGTCCTTCAGCAGTGACGTGTTTTGGCTTTACCCTTCTTGTTGTAGGTCATTGTCTGCCAGGTAGCTTGTTATTTAGCCCATTTTCCTCCAGATTGTGCAACATCTTTGTGAAAATTAGCATTTTTAAAATGATTTTTGCCATTTTCAAAAGAAACTGAATTTGTGATCATGATTAATCATACTTAAGCAATGCTTCTGATGGTAAAGCTTCTGTTCCAGTCTGGTATCTATAATCATAAACCATCATAGTCCACTAAAATCTGGAGAAGCAATGAACACCTAGAAGGAATGTTTCCCCTGATGTGGATTGATGTATTTTTTTCTCAGGCGGATGAGGGGCAGAGGGAGAGGCAGAGGTAGAGGTAGAGGATGGGGTAACAGAGGGTCCAGAGGGCAGCATCATCAGGGGCCACCCCCATTAAATGGCACTGCTGCAGAGGCCCCTAAACTAGTCAACCATCTCTCCAATGGAGGAGATCCACTGGGAGTTCTGGCCAGTACTGAACACAGTGAGTTTATCTTAAGCTGCTGATACTTTGTGAATTCTCCAAATGAAATGGATGAATACAGATGTTAAACATGTGTTTGGTGTTCTTGCAGGTTCTGATAAAGAGGAACCGGATCCAGAACGGAGCACAGGTGGTGTGGTTGTTCCCCCCAAACAGATGAGCTCAGCTCTCGGGTCCTTAATGGCTAACTATGGTTCTTCCAGTGATAGCGACGAGGAACCAGATGGTGAGCTCATGGATTTCAGTCCATTCTTAGTTGATGTTTTTTGTTTAGTTTTGATGCTTAAACAGATGTTTGCTTTGCAGCTGCTCCTATTCTGAGAGCCAAGGAGGTGCTGCAAGAAAACCAGGCCATCCTAAACGAGGAGAGACAACCTTCTGGGCATGGTGGAGTCCCTGAACATGTGGAAAAGGCCAGTGAGGCTCATACAGTTCCTCAGCCGGTGTCTGGTCCTAACATCTGGAACGACAGGAGAAAAAGAGGAGGGGGGAGAGGAGGCAGGGGGCGAAGAGGTCCAGATGTGCCTCAGCCTCGGCGTGCAACGTTACTAGAAATGGTAAAGGCTTCTGACTTAAACCAGCTTTACTTTTGATTGGTTGGCTGTGATCAATGAAAGCCATGAATACACATTGGATTATGTAACGATTGATTATGTAACGCAAAACAGTTTAATCAGTACAGGAAATCTGATAAAAGCCCCAGAATTTGGTTCTAACAGGATTTTAATGATTTCTTAAATCCACCAGGCTAAGATTTAGGTTTCTTGCCTTGAATGTTGGGGTTATGGTTGGTCCACAGAGGAGGGATAAAGCACTGGTATTAATTTAGCTGATTTTAGATTTAGGTGTCTTTACTAGGGCTGAAACCATTAATCGGATTAAAAGATTATTAAATAAATCATCTCGACTATTTTAGTAATTAATTAATCATTAACTGGAGTGTAGAGACTCTAAAACAGATACTGAACCTGATTTAAAACATTTATAAATTACCACATGTTTTCTAATTTCACTTGTGCCGCTTCTCCTGTTACCCCGATTCCCACATCCTCCGTCTCCACCCTGCTAGAGCCTACAGCCTCCGCTGTTCCTTCCGTCTTGCTGCACTCCGACTGCCTCAGAGTTTGAGGAGAGCATGCGTGATATTATCATTAATATTGTGCATCATTAACGCTTAATTTAATATGAAATATTGAAAAAAATCCCCATCAGAATCCAGCAGATGTTCAGTTTCCGATGGAGATGAGAAATCTGCTGCCTCGTCTGTTGAAGTACCGATAGTTTGCATCCAATATTTTAAATAAACAGTTAGTTTTTTGAAATATAAAAGAATTATGATCTAATATGTAATTGCCGATCTGTTACTATATTTTAATTTGACAAACTGGATATTCTCGCCATTCTTTTTCCTGTTTGGTGCTATTGTAATAGCGGATCTTGACCTGGCCGGACCGGAGCCTGAACATTTAGGGGATGTTTGGCTCAACCTACTAACAGCATGAACAGAATCAAGAATAAATATTGATCCAGAATCAAAATGAGAACCTTGATATGTGCATTAGAAAGGCTTTGTCGCCATTCAAACCCAGGTTTAAAGCCTTGCAGGTCAGCCTAAAGCCAAAAGAAAAAAACAAAAACAAATGTTTAGTTCAGGTGTTTTATAAAACATGTGAATCAGGAAATTGTCTGTATACCAAACTGAAGGATTGTTGTTCTCTACTTCAAAAACACTTTCGGTTTTAAAATAAAAAAAAAGTTTCTTTTTTTAATATATATTTTTAATAAAAAAAATTGAATGCATAACATGAATGCATAAAAACCTCCTTTTATTTCAGTGTTAAATTCTGTTTAAAGTAACATATTATGATTGAAAATGTCTCTGGATCTTTACTGGTTGATGATTTTCTTTATTCAGATCCCGCTGATTTTTAATTGGTTACCCCTGATCTAAAACATGCCTTAAGCTGACAGAGCGACCCACTTAGAGCAGTAATTACACCAAGATGGTAAACAAAAATATATAAAATTTTGGCTTTTAGGTTAAGGAAAAATTGTTTTTTCATTTTGTTTTTTTTGGACTTCTTGAGGTGGAAATTTTTGGTTTTCCCTTGTTTTGTTTTTTTAAAAGTTTTTTTTTAAGGATTTTTTGGTTTTCGGTTTTTGAATTATTAATAAAAAAAAAAATAATTGAGAAATTAATCGATTTGCATAAAATCGTTAGTTGCAGCCCTAGTCCTCACTTCTTTCTCCATCTCATATGTTCAAATGTGAACTGTGTTTCAGAAAGGTAAAAATATAGACAAAACAAATAATAGAGTTACAATGGAAATATAACCTTAAAATCTAAATTGCCTTACAGCAAAAAATAATTTTATAAAGACGATTTTAACAATTTGGATGAATTAACTAACTTTTGTCGTGGACTTCCAGCACTGATGGTGTAAATGAGGCCATGTTGCAACTGCAGCAGAATCCTTTTCTTATAAAGTGTTTCCCCCTTCAGACTATCAGATTTCTGGCCCCATACTTTGCTTAATAGTTTGAATAGATGTCACAGCAGCGACGCCTTTGCTTCAACAACACCAATCCCCTACCTTTTATTTATTTCCATTATGGCTAATTTGGTTCTTCAGAAGGTGAAAGGAAGACTGAATATATTAAAGCAAAGTTCATCAGTTTATAGTTACTAATATAGTAATATTAGATGCTATAATCACTCAGTTATTGAAAAGAAATTGAAGTTAGCTAAGATTATTGGAAGCTCATTGCTTTATAAAAACTTTTTACTGGAGCTCTGACATCTGATTGGTGCGTTTGTATTAAAATCGATCATAGTCAACTTATTCCAGCCTTTTATAAATCTTCCCTCTGAGGTCAAAATAGTTCCCATTATTAATGCGACTGTTTTTTTTTCTTCCTTCGTTCAGTTATTGGCCCCAGATATCCGCCATGAGAGGAACGTTCTCCTGCAGTGTGTACGATACGTTGTCCGCAACAACTTCTTCGGGCTGGAAAACAGACATCGGGACCCAGAGGAGATGAAGGACAGAAACTTACCGGCTTCTTCAACCGCTGAGAAAGAGCAGAGTGCAACAGAAGTACCTGCATCTAAGTCGGACTCTACGGTTTCTGACGAAAGGCCTGAAGAGAGTCTGCCTGTCAGGGAGGACGGAGGTGATGGAGATTTAAGGAGGGAATCTGTTGAAGGAACCGAAGAAGGTTCTGCAGATTCTGTCCAAAGCGTTGAGGAGACGGACGGCGCTCCCAGCACAGATCTCACCGGCACAATAACAGAGACATCTAAAGCTAATATGTATGATGATGAAATATGGGAAACAGACGAGGCTGTTGCCGGAAATACTTAGTTTATTTTTATTTTTAATTTGATTAAACTGTATAATTATTTTTCTTGTAAAGTAAATCATTTAATTTTGCTCATTTTTTTTGCTGTAGGTTGATTATTTTGCTATAAAATAAATGATTAGTCTACAACATTATGACTTTTTTATTTGAAGTCTGTAGCATGATGCTACCACTACCATGCTTGTCCAAGGGTTTGAAAGTATCATGTTGCAATAAGATTAAACAACTCAGTCCTTGTGTTGTCTGACTATAAAACTCTATACTATACTACTATACTTTCAGATTTTAGCCGATTAGGTAACTTTCACTGCAGTTTCATTTTATGTACCCAGAGTTTGGTCTTTAAATCTGAAAATTCCCAATGAGTGCAGATCTAAAATTCTCCTTTAATCTTTAAAATAAAGAAAATGCAGATCTTTTAGGGTAGTTCTCAACCAGCTTTGATTATATGGAAACTTTTTACTCCTTCCTTGTAAAAACAAAACAAAAACAAACCTCAAGCTATGAAGGAGAATGTATGCAGTTTTTGTTTTACGTCTTTCCATTTGGATGGTGTACAGACTTTGACTAGGCTTTTAATGAAGACTGCGAGGGACCAAACTTAAATAAGGACAAAAGGTGTTCAAAAATTGAAAAAAAAAAATAAATTTAATAGTGTCAAAAATATTTTAAAAAGGCTAAAAAAAAAAAATACAAAGCAGCTTAAAAAATAAATAGCATGGATTTCGGCCCAACTCAACTGAGGTCAAATGAACAGGAACTAAAACAAAAAACTGATCTACTGATAAAGAACAGAAGCTGCTTAAATAGGGGTATAAATAACCTAAAGTGGCTACATGAGGGAGGCAGAATATAACAGAGAAGCAATAAATAAATAAAAGTCCATACAAAACTAAAACATAAATAAAACTCTTTAACTTAGCACAAATAATTAAATATTAAGGCGACAAAATAACTAAAGTAAACTTAAAATTCCCCCCTCAGTTCTTAGGAAAGTGGTTTGTTCCTGACTGCTTCACCTCCAGCTGATCTGCATTTGCACAACTATGAAACTACACAAACTTTGTGGTGGAGGTAGAAGGATCCGCCACAAAGACATTCTATGAAAACTTCCCTCAGATGCATCTGTGTTACAAAAATCCTGGCGGGTCGGTGATCTGTAACTTAGATTTGTCCCTTGCCCTAAGCTTGAACACCTGAATCAAATAACTAAGCCTTGCTATCTCATATTTGACTCAGTTGTGTTAAAAACACAGATGCATCCAAAAGTTGCCGGTTCACATGTTTGTTTTTTGTTTGTTTTTTACTAAGCAATTGATATTTACATGAAAAAATATTCTGAGAGAGGATGGCAAAAGTACACGAACAGATGAAGATTAATTACAGTGAAAAAATACAAAGTAAAGGGATTTATATCAGCAAACATTTAAATCAAACAGAGAAAGAGCCATAGAAATATGAAAAACAAAGAAGGTGGATGCAATGAGAATAGATGGTGGGAGAATTTAAGACTCATTTTTTTTGACATATTTGTATTTTTTAAATGGTTTAAAGAGAAGAAAAAGGGTTTTAAAGTAATTAATAAACCAATGAAAGGAAGGTTTATGATTCCTCCATTTAACACAGTGGATATGATATTTACCTAGCAGCAGGATGATATTAATAGTATCAGAAACAGGCAAGGCAAGATGGTCCACATAAAAAAATGGCATTATTTAGGGGCAAATGGGGGGATATAGTTAGTTTTCAAAGAAAAACAGATGTGTTCAAAAGTTTCACTAATATTATTACTATATGAACATTAATCCACCTAAAAAATCTAATCTTTTTCTTAAAAAATCTGCCACAGGATAAATTTTGTTTGTAACTTTAAAATGTGTTTCTCTGACTTTAGGTAGAATAGGTTCACATCATGGTTTGTTCCCCAGCTTTTCTGTACTTGTATGCAGGCAACCCAAAGGCATGATGCAGCCATCACCATGTTTAGCTTTTGGGAGCTATATTCATCTTTTTTTGTGTCAGTTTATTTGAAATAATACAAAATCAAACATCAAAAGGTGTATAATGTAAAATCCACGACTTGAATGAATGATGATTTCACAACAGAAAATAAGTAATTAAAAGAATCAATATATAATGACGTTAAACTTAGATTATTTAACGTTAAGGTGCTAAATTCAAATTGTTCGTGCTTAAAATGCAGACCCAAGGTAAATGAATTACCGACAAAGCTTTTTGTAGCTCCGCCCGCCTGGACTGCTAAAACATGAAAACCAAAGCACCACCGCACCCGGTAACCTAGCAACCACCTGAGCTGTCATATCAACGGTAAAGTTGACGAGAGCGCCTCGGTCAACATAAAAGGGCGAGTATAGATATACTTTATAAAACTATAGTACCTAATAATATATGTCTCTGTAATATTTGAAGACTTCTAATTGCAAATCTATACCTAATGGCTGGAAGGTGCGTTCGAGTTGAACCTCCGTTTGTAGAATTTAAGGATGTAAAAGTTGGGGAAGTTTACAGGAAAGCAGTCACGGTAACAAATATTGGAAAACAGCCGAAGAAGATTTTTATTGAGAAGCCCAACTCGAAGGTAACGTAGAAAAAAATAAAATACAGTGTAGTAAAAATAAAAACATCTGGGCAGAGCATGTATGAATAGTTTTAAAATTATTCCAAAAGATCAAAATTCTTACATTAAATTACAAAATATTAATATAGAAATAATTTAGTTTTAAGTATATAGACATCGATTAGACACACGTTTCCTTTTTTGCAATTGATACTTATTTTCTCTGCTATCAATATTTTGACTGTTCTTTATTCTGTAGTGTACAGAAGAGGATTAGGGCCACTGAAAAAAATCAAAAAAGTTAACAGATCTTTTTATTTCAGTAAATTATGAGAAAAAGTCAGAATTCTGACTTTAATCTCAGAACTCAGACTTTTTTCTCAGAATTCTGACTGAATTCTGACAGCTAACAAACGTGTTAGCATCAAGCCGTAGCCATGTCAGAATTCTGAGCTTAAAGTCAGAATTGTGAGAAAAAAGTCAGAATTCTGAGATTAAAGTCAGAATTATTCTGAGATTAAAGTCAGAATTGTGAGGGAAAAAAAGTCAGAATTGTAAGAAAAAAAAGTCAGAATTGTGAGATTAAAGTCAGAATTGTGAGAAAAAAGTCAGAATTGTGAGATTAAAGTCAGAATTGTGAGATTAAAGTCAGAATTGTGAGAAAAAAGTCAGAATTGTGAGATTAAAGTCAGAATTGTGAGATTAAAGTCAAAATTCTGAGATTAAAGTCAGAATTGTGAGATTAAAGTCAGAATTCTGAGATTAAAGTCAGAATTCTGAGATTAAAGTCAGAATTGTGAGATTAAAGTCAGAACTGTGAGATTAAAGTCAAAATTGTGAGAAAAAAAGTCAGAACTGTGAGATTACAGTCAGAATTCTGACTTTTTCTCATACTGAAATAAAATTTAAAAATCAGTAAACTGTTTTTTTTGTTTTTATCAGTGGCCCTAATCCTCTTCCGTAGTAGTGAAACATAGAAAATGCATCATAAATCATTAAGCATTCACCTTTAATTTCGCACAAGGAACCAAAATTGCATTGGCCCCGGGACAGAAACAATCAAAGACAGATGAGGAATGAAGTGATTTATCAGTGATTTATCAGTGTGGACAGGATTATTCATTTGCTTCTAGGCTTTAGGAGTCCAATGTCCCTCAGCAGTGAGATATTATCCACTAAGCAATGAACACTGAAAGTATGGACTACCAAATTAACTCTAAAAGAGCATCAACAGATCATCCAGAAGGTCATAGAATAATCCAGAACAGCATCTTAACTATGGCAGACCTAAGTGCTTGAAATAATTGAGCAGCTCCCTTTCTATTCCTATTTTATAGTTTGGATTCAAAATTATTTCTGCTTCCCAATCAAGTCTGAAATGTTTACAAAGTCTCCTCTAAACCCTATAATCAGTGGTTTATGAAGAACTCCACTTATTTACTTAGAATGCCGGCACTGAAAAAATTTTGAAGTTTGAGCATTCAGGCAAAACTTTGCCTGCAAGATTTTTGGGTGGTTGCAATGATGCTGTGAAACCGATTAAAAAATCTACAAAGACTTGCACTTTAACTCATTTTCTCCGACTTTGACACAACATTTTTTCTTTAATGTTATAAATACTTATCTTTTCCTATTACTTACATAAACTTCAACTTGATTTTAAGTTGGTACGTCGAGTGACAACCTAATATCCTTCTGAAATGTCTTCCCTACAGCTCTTTAATTTCATCCAGTTGAGTCAATCCGGGTTTGTGCCATCAGGATTTTCTGTCAGAGGTGTGCTGGAGTTCACTCCAGATGCTGAGGAGGAGGTCAGAGATTCCATTCGGGTGCATATAGCTGATGAAGAGATCCTCCAGGTTCCAGTTACAGGGTGCGTGATCTTTCAAATCAGCTACAGTTTACATGCCTGGTTGCATCTTTATTATTGCTGCATCTCTCGCTGCAGTTTTCCCAGGTCTTGCTCTTTCACTATGGACTCTGTGCTGGACTTTGGCTGCATTGTCGCCAGGGGTCAGATGGTCAGCAAACTTCACCCGATTACCAACGTAGGCTCTGCACCTGGTAAGTCAAATGATCTTTATTTGACACATGATACTATATAGAACTGTGATATTCATCCAGGGGGTGCACATATAAGTATGTTATCTTTTTAGGCGTATTCCAAGTGGAGTACAGTGGTGGAGACGCCTCTCTCAGTTTCTCACCATCCAGTGGAGTCATAGCAGCTGGCACCACCCAGTGGCTGAAAGTAGAACTGCATACAGTCAAACCTGGGCAGATTGATGAAAAAGCTCTGTATGTTTTTCTCTAAAAACAACTCACCCACATTATCTATAGTGTCTAGCGTAGACTAAAAGAATCAGAACCTTCTTAGGGGTTTAGAATATTATATTTTATATATTCAAAATATGTTTTTATTTTATTGTACTTAACTGGATAATAACAGTTGTTATCTTGCCTTATTTGTCCCTGAGGGTGAAACTCGAGAAAAGCTCGACTGTAGTTCTGCATATCAGGGCTGAGGTGGTGGAGCAGCATCTGGAGGTTTCTGACCTGCAGGTAGATGCATTTAGATTCAAGAAGAGACTGAATTATTGTGCCTTACAGAGATATTTACAGGTCCATGGAGAAAAAAAAACAGAACAAAAACAAAATAACTTGAAATTTGGGCAGAAGTTCAACTTTGAGCAGAAAAAAAACCCATCCCTAAACATGTCAGATAGGACAAAATGTAACGCTTTGGCCTACATTTAAAATCTTTTGCAAGGCATTATAAAATGTTAAAAGGATCTTGCTGCTTTAAAGTTCCTTCTCAATATCTGTATCCTTTTATAGGGGTCTCCACTGTCCTTTTTGTGCTTCGGACCCGTCTACTTTGGAACTTCCTGTGTGCAGAATGTGCTGCTGAGAAACAATGCTCCCCTGGCATGCGACTGGGTCTGCCTTCTGCAGGATAACCCTGCTGGGACTGAGGCAGTGAGTCATTTACCTTTTAATAAAGCAGCTTTTAGTCTGTAAGAAATGGATAAAACAAAAACCTTCAGCTTTCTCAATTCTCCCCACAGGGAACAGACTTTCTAAAGAGCACACAGTGCACTCTGCTGGAGAGAATGAAGAACAGCAGCTCGCCAAGCCATGCTTTGTCTGAGGTCTTGGAATGTTTTCCTACACATGGTCGACTGGGTCCATATGACAAAACCACCGTGGCAGTACGATTCAGTCCCATCTGCAGGAGGTACATTTGTACTAAAACACCGAAGAAGACTTGCTAGAAATTCATGTGAAGGATATTTTGTGTTGACTTTTCTAGCTTTAGTTGTCCTTTGTATTATAGATAGATTGATAGTATTCATTCATGGCCGTGCCTTAAATAATGTGGTTCAAATACGTTTCTCTTAAAAATAAAAAAATTTATAGCTGAATTGAGAAGAGCTAAAAATAAGGAATAGAAACGGTTGTTTTAGACGATAAGAAGGGGAAAAAAAGGTTTTATCACTCCCCGTCGGGGAATCGAACCCCGGTCTCCCGCGTGACAGGCGGGGATACTCACCACTATACTAACGAGGAGATGTTTCATTTGTAGAGAACATTGAATTTTCTACTGTCCGCATTTGCCCTGTCTGACAGCAGGAGGAAGTGTGTTACAGCAGCCAGCCGGCAGGACTACTGTCTGTTCCTGCTGTTTGACATTGTGGACTGCAAACATGGCTTCACTCAACACACTGGTACTCACACATGTACAAACAGCTGAAGTACACAAAACATTTATCTTCCTATAATGGGGATTCTATCATAGGATGGTCCTATTATGATTATTTTACTCAATCTTTATTATTTTTTTATAATTAGCCCCATAATAGAAAACATAGAGGTAGAGAGGACTGATAGCTTTAATCAAGCTTTCTTTCATCCCTGTAGCCGACAGCAGTGTGGAGGTGTCAGTGACTGGTTCTGGAGTCCCCGTGGCTTTGCTGCCGTCTCCCTCTACCGCCTTTGATTTCCCCAGCTGTGCGATGGGCCAGCATTCAGGGCTCATCTGTGTGCTCCAGAACCTCTGCCCTCAACTTCCTGTCAGATTCCGCTTTCGCAAGTTAGCACACTTCACCGCTGATCCGACAGAGGGCAGCATAGCACCTGGGCGGTGTCAGGTGTGAATGCTTGCAGCTTCAGGTTCTAATTAAAGCTCCAAACGTTTAACAGATTAACTTGTTTTTTCTATGTTCTGCAGGACATAATTTTGACTTTTATTGGACGGCAGCAGGGCAGCTTCCAAGTCCGTCAGAAAGTAGATGTCCTGGGTTGGGTTGCATCTCAGAAAGATAGCAGCTCCACTAAGCTTAGCTGCTTCCACACAATCTCCCTGAGCTTATCAGCTACATGCTACAGTGTGATGCCACTCCCCAAACCAAAGCCACTTCCTGGTGAGAATTTTTCCACATTTAGACCATGAAATCTAATGAGAAGGCTGCAGAAAGTGAACTTATTTCTTATATCATTTTAGCTCTAAATAGTCTAACAGGGACAGAGCCTCCGATTACGTTGAGTGAGCTGGCTCGTCGCAGCCTCTTGGCCCGCGCTCCCGCCTCAAAGCTACACAAACATGGCAAACAGCGAAGCGAGGGCTCCGATGGAGACGAGTTCCAAGCCTCTAGCATCATACCAGCATCACAACTCAGACAATACAGGTAGAGTTTAACAAACCACAGCTCCACAACAAACCATCTGATTTTAATTGAATAATCAGATTTTTTTCGATTTAAAACACGATACATGATTTAGATTAAATTGTGGGCATTTAAAGAAAAACTATTTTATTATCTTTGATATATGAAAGGCCTACAGACAGTGGCAGTTCTAGACCACATGTACCAGGGGGCCAGGAGGGGGCCAGCATTGTTTTCATGGGGGCCCAGAAAAGCATGAAATAAAAAACAGGGCAGGGGATTCAAATATATTAAGAGAGCTGCATGAAGACACATTTTTTATATTCAATATGTCTTATTAGGTTAATATATATTCATAATTTAGGAATTTTACATATTTTTGACTTAATATAAGTAAAAATTACGTTTTCTGTAAAATCTGAATTAGAACTCAAGAAAAACTGATAAATTCAGCTGCAAAAATTAGTTTTAGTGAGTGTAATGTTTCTTTGTGTTTTCATGTCGTTCAGGACCATTTTTACCCGAGCGCCTCTCTATTACCATGTGGACACCAGCTATGCTTTCACTGAGGAGGAGGAACAGCAAAGACAGTGCCATCGACAGACTTACATGACCTTTATCCAGCAACTTAGACAAAAACGGCTTCAGAAGATCAGAGAGAGGTGTGATTTCCAAATTGAATATATATCCCCCCCAAGACCATTTAAAATAATCTCAGAATGAGTTAAACAATAATGTTTTTCCATTTTCCAATTAAAAGCCACAAAGTTCAATTCACTGTCTTGCACTGATTTTCATTTTTAGGGAACAAGACACACTGAAGGACGGACTTGTTCCCCCTAAGCTTCACATCAGAGACCTGGAAAGCACCGACCGCTCAGAAGGGAAACTTAATGACACTACCAAATGCACAGGGGTGATTAAAAAAGCAGCACTAGTTGGGTTATATAAATAAAGTATTTAGGATATCTAATCTATTTCAATTATATGTTTTTGTTTTTACAGATTTCAGAAGCAGCAGTTAAAACAGTTCCATCTACCAGCCAGCAGGTGGCAGACTGCAGCAGGAAGCTGACTCCTTATGAACTCTACCAAGTTGTAATATGTAGGATTTTACTTAGTAAACTATGAAAATGACAGCCTGATCTAGAGCATAAATGCTGAGGCAAATAATGCACTCTATATTGTCCCTTTGTTTAAACAGGTCCTTTAAAGGTGGACTTTGGTTCTGTGTGTCTGGAGTCAGTGTGCGTTCAGGAGCTCCACCTCTTCAACCGTCTGCCGCTGAATGTCTGGGTTGAGCTAAAGATGAACTGTCCTGAACTGCAAGGCTCCTCCCTGCTGTCGCAAGTCTTACCTCCTTTCTCCCACAGCAGCTTGCCCCTGACATTTGAAAGCAGTCAGCTCGGGCCCTTCCACAGGTCGGTCCGTGTTCAGATGAGCTGTTCTGTAAAGCGTTTAATCCTCAGTATTTCTTTAGAACCTAAATAAAATGGATCGGTTATGCATGTTTTGATGTTTTACATAAAATCTCAATAAATCAATCTGTATAAAAGTTTGAGGGTGTGAAAGTGTACTTCATTTCTCCAGGTCCCTAAACTACACTGTAAACCAGCAGCACCCTGGTCAAATACTAGTCCAAGCTCAGGTTGTCTCCCTGTCTCTGGTGATGTCCACCAACCTGCTGGTGCTCCCCTCCACCCCGCTGATGTTCCCAGGATCAGAGTACAGGAGCACAGTGACCCTTCATAACCCGTGTAACTGTGCAGCAGATTTCACCTGGCAGCCCGTGATCCCAGAAAGCGGCCTGCTGTTATTCTCTGTCCGACCAGCTACAGGTGAGCCAGCTCTAGGACCCTTTGGTGACTGTGGCTTGGAGTTACTCAATCATCTCCTGTTGACGTAGCATGTTTATGAGGTGACATTTTAAAGGATCTCATCTCGTTTTGTCCAGGTACAGTGGAGCCACACATGGAACTAGACTGTGAGGTGGTTTGGCATCCTTCCTTTGATTCCCCCTCAGAGGGAGACTTTGACCTTTGCGTCCCTGGGGGAAAAACTCAGCGCCTGCACTGTGTTGCTAAGGTTTGTCTCCACAAAGAAGGATTGTTCCTTTCCTGGGTTGAGTAACTCCTCACTAGAAGTCCCTAACCATCATCTGTAGAAGTCCAGTCCAGTCACTCAATTGTAATAAGTTTGCATCTTCTGCAGCACATGTGAACTTGTAATGTTTTTCCACAGTGTTAAAGGATTTGTCTTCATTCAAATGCAGCTCTCTCCATTTTAAACCTGAAAGATGTAGTCTGCAACTGTATTAAAAGCCCCCTCCACATAATTTAACACAGTAAAGATCTGCTACATCACTGGAAACTTTAGCACATGGACGGAGCAGTTCTTCTGGTGCATTCACACCGAACACATTTCCTGCGACCTGAGTGATTGATTTAGATGTTATCCCCATGTAGAGTTGCGTTCAGGAGCACAGCGATCCAACGGAGGATGCAAATAGCATAATTATGTTGGTTACTGCGAACTGTTGGTAATGTGACACGTGAAAAATCTGAACTTCTCTGTGAAGTCCAGACAACCAATCATGGACTGGATGTGGCTGTGACGTAGAACAGCAGTAAAAACTAACTTTATTCAGTTGAAATGGAACATAGAATAATGTATGTTAAGAAAAAAGGAATTTAGTAACGCTCTTTTGTGAGGGATCTTTGAAAAAAGCCTTTTATTTAAGCTCTTAAAACATCTGTAAAAATCATTCATCATTCATTCTCCTCTTGTAGCTCCAGGGACGTAGACACCAGTGGCTTTCCTGGGTTCCCATTATAAATTATAAACCACAAATCGCTGAGTTAATTGTCCATGTTAAGGTGGAACAGGAAAGTAGCAGATAGATTCTTGAATCATGTTTGGTGTGAACGCACCATAAGCTTGAGCTGTTATGCGAATTGGAGGGACATCTTCTTGTTAGGAATGCCTCTCATGTCAATTTGATGTCTTTCCCATCTTCCTCTCAGATTGGAACCACTACTGTCCAGCTGGTAGAACAACGAATCCTTTTCCGGTCTGTGCCTCTAAACACAACGTCTATCAGAACTGCTGTCCTGCACAACTCTGGGTGGAACCACGCCTATTACCAGGTGTCCAATCACACTCTGTTAGCAGGATCTTTGAGCCAATCAGAATATATATTTATGCTAAGATAAACACACCATCCATTAATATGGATTTAGCTGAGGTCCAACCCCATGGGGCCACTTTGCAATGGCTCTGCTCTCTGTTTGTCAGGTTGTGGACCCCTCTCCTCTACCTGGCATGGTTCTGAGTCCATCTCAAGGTGTAGTGCCCAGCAGAGGTCAGGCCATACTTTACATCCAGTTCAACCCAGACTGTGTATCCAGGTTTGATACCAAGTTTGAGGTGAGAAAATAAATAAACGGTGCAGTTTAATTTACATATGGTGTCACTTTTTCTGTTTCTAAGGGAGTTTCTGTGTGTTGCAGATAGCTCTGAGGAACATGAAGTCCACCCAACTAAGAGTTGGAGGATCAGTGGAGCCTCCAAATATAGAATTCAGTGTGGTGAGCGTTATAGTTGCCCTGCTGCAAACATGAACATTTATTATCTGTGCAGGATCTATGTTGACTATCTATATATTTAAACTATGATAAGGTAGATCAAAATAAACTCAAACCTTAATTTCTTAGGTTCACGTGGCTCCATTTAAAGCACAGAATGTGATAACTATAACTTTCTATTTTCTCTCGATCATAACATTACTATCAGGTCTAAAAGTCAAACACAAATCATGCACACCTGTCCTGAAACTAACAGACCTTTTCAAGATACCCAGAACATCCAATGATTCTGCTGAATAGCTCTGCTTAAAAGTGTTGGTGACTATCTGCTTGACCAGACTTCCCCAACCACAAGGCTGTGAATTACAGAAATAAATGAATTTTAGCTAATATTCTAATATACCAAAATGCTGCTGTTACATCTGCTAACATAACCTGGTCATGCTAACTTATGTGTCTTCTTTTCAGTCTCATTTCCAGTTCTGTGGAGTCCATGTTGGTTCTCAACAAGAGATTCCGTTCACATTAACAAACCACTCTGCAGTGACGTCCCGACTCACATTTGATCTGTCAGAATACAAAGACTTCTCAGTCCAAGTCTGTCAGCCATCTGCTAGTATGTACAGTATTATTAAAGCACATTAAAGTATCTCAGTTAAAAAATGCAAATTTTCTGGGAAAGAGGGAAACTATGTTTGATGGGGATGTCTGGTCCTGAAAAAGTTTATTACACATATTCTTTAAATGCTTGAGATTATCAGGTTGTTTCTGTGTCCTTGCAGAAGCAGAAAAAGAGCCTGGAGTCACCGTGGTGCAGGTTAGTGATGGTCAGACCCAGGAATGTCTGCTGGTCTTTTCTCCCACCCAGGTGAGATTTCTGGATGTTTCCAATGCATGAATCAGAGGAAACATTAAAACCATATATCAAATGGCTTCTTAGCATCTGTGCTAACTGTAAATAATATAAATATTTGTTTGTATAAATAGTTTAAAGAGTTTGAATGTCCTCTTTTTACCGAAGGTGATCAGCTATGACTTCTTCCTACCACTAACGGTTAATGGACTTAAATGGCCCAGCTCTTTGTCCCCTTCACTTCCTCCAGTCTGGATACAGGCCACAGGTGGAGTTACTGTTGCTGAAGTTGTGTGATTTTGTTTAATTTTGACTTATTTTATCCATCCTAACCCAGATCTGATGCGTGTTCATTTTGGGGTTTAGTTTTAGTACTATTGGCTGTGAAATAAACCCGCAGCATGATACCGCTTCTACTTTTCCTGACAGTTCTATGCATATCTGTAAGGTGTAATGCTTTCTGTTCATTTTCTGCATAGCCCTCTTTGCTCCAGTGGAAATGTCCCCTCCTACCCTGCAGTTTGTTGTCCAATCACAGTCTAATATATTATCTCAGGTATTCCATTTGACCCAAACTCTTGTCATTTTCCGTGTAATAAATAATTCCATCATACCCCTTCTCCTCTCTTCTCATCAAAATCATTCTGTTTAATGTGTGTTACATCTAATTATTTTTATAATAATTTAAGATTTTGTTTTCCTGTGTTTTCTTCTTTCCCGTCCTTCTGCTGCAGACTGTTGAGCTGACAGCTGAGCAGGAACAGAGCGTCTGTTGGCGAGCTATCACAGGAGAAGGTGTAAACTGGTGGTTTGATCTCAGTGCCACGGATGCAGCAGCTAATAAGCTGTGTGTGGTGACTCCATCATCTGGCTTTCTAAGGCCGGGCCAGTCCGTATGTGTTGGGGTTTCCATCGACCCCGAGGCCATCAGAATGGGTGCAGTATAAAATGCTTGTAGTTTGAAATAATTAAATATCCAATAGTGTGTTGGAGATGTAATATTGAAAAATAATGAAACTTTGTAATGCTAATTTTGAAAACATAGCTTGAAAGCTGTGTTTAAGCAATATTATTCCATCCAACTAAATCTACACAGCTAAAGCTACTGCTAAAGTCAGAGTTGTGGTAAATTTGGGGAACTAAATATTTTCCCAATAGCAAAGATCTGATGGCAGAGGATCCCAAACATTTCAGGCTGTGATGGCTGCTTCTAAAGTTACTGAACTTACGTTTTGTATAAAAGTTTTGGGGGAAAAAGTTTGAGCTGCTTGAAAAAAAAAGTCAAGACTTAGTTCATGCTGATGAAAAAAAGATCTTGATCGTTGATCTCTGCTTAAATGTTATTTTGTTTTTTTTCCACAGGAGAAAAAGGGACCGTACTATATTTTCCTCTGTATCTGGGAGAGAAGGAGACTGAAGGAAGACAAAGAAACAAAGCACCCCAGCCTTACAGGAAGCTGTCAGTCATCATCAGGCTTCCGCGTATCACCTTCCACCCCTGTCAGATCCTCCTCACCCCTGTTCCTCTGAGAACAAGAATAGAAACCACACTCACCCTGCAAACTACTGGTTATCCATGGTTGGTTCACAATGAATACTTAAAGCTATCATCTTTCTTTCTAAACAACCAACGACTAGTTTGTAGCAATAAATAATCTGTGTTAAAACCTGTGGCCTAAATAACCCAGAGGAAACATATTCATAGTCATCAATAGACACGTATTTGTCAGGCTGCCTGCTGTCTCATAAAACAGTGATTCCCAACCTGGTGTTCTGTCAGATCGGCATTCCCGGTCAGACCAAAATACTCATAGTAATGTGCATGCGCGCTACCAGATCACCATACGCTTCAAAAAACACCAAAAAGTAAGTAATTCAATTGTTTTTTGGTACAGCACATGAATAAAGGGATACACGTCCGTTGAGTTAGTTTAAAGTTTATTTAGAGAAGGGTCTAGCTGCACCTGCAGCCATCTAAAAAAGGCGTCCCGTAGAAAACACACCTCCTGCCCAGCCAATCGCTGATGATATTGATTTAGATATTGTGTCACCTTGGATACAGGTGCTTGGTGGAGCAGAAGGAAGGTTAATTGAAGTGAATCAAACTTGAGCAAGATCCCTACTACTATCAAGGTTGTAGTTGGCACATTAAAAAGGAATAATCTTGATTAATGTTGGGAATAAAGCAATAGTTCAATCCATGATCAAATAGCTGTAAAATTTTGCCACTTATTTTATTTTTTTATGTAATTTTCCAGGAGCTGCACATGCTTTAAATATAAAAATTTAAATGTTAGAAATAGCATTTCTAAGTTAATTTTTCTAAAATCCTCCTGGTGTGAAGTAGAGAATACAGAAAGCGAGGCCATCTGTGTTTAAAGAAGTTTAGCTTTAAATTCTGTTTCAACTTTGGGTATGCTGGTCTGACGGGTTAAGTTAGTCTGACACTTAAATTTTCAGGCTAGCAAGCGCATATGCAAAGCTGATGTCTTGTGCATGCATATTGACTATAGGTATGCTGGTTTGAGGGGGTATGCTGATCGGACAGAACACCAGGATACGCTTACCCCTAGTGGTCCACGAGTGCATTGCAAGGGGCTCATGAAAATATTTTATCTCTTAGGTAGTAAAATAAAATAGGGCTGGGATCTGTTTTCCTTTGTGAGGAACATATTGAAAAATGAAACAAGCTTTTATCAAGCAAAAAGTAAGTTTTTATTATATGTTTGAATTCAGCTTCAGCTTTGACACACATTAAAACCAAGCAGAGGAACAGACTGGATGTAGAGAACAGCCTGATATCTGAGGTTTTTTACACTGAGCTATTGGAGCTCATCAAGGCAGCTCAGGTGCGATGAAAACAAAGTAAAACTAATTAAGTCAGTCTGACTATAATTTTACAATTCATCAAGTTTAAATGTGATCATAAGGGAGCTCCAGTTTCATAAATACAGGTTTATAATCTGATTTTATTTTGTATTTATTTCGATTCATTACTAACTTCCAGGCAACATATTTATGTTGTTTTATTTATGATGGAAATAATACAATGGCTAATAGTTAAATGCTCAAATTAAAAGATTAAGTAAAACAGTTTTTATTTTATAATTGTACATTCCATTTTTGGACAATCAGCAAAACTTTCGACTGAACTCATGGTAAGAATAAATGCCCAAAAGGGTACACAAGTCAAAAAGGGTTGGGAAACACTAGCAATCTACATTGCAATGTTTTTTATACTGTCTATTTGCTATATTTCTACGCCATGCATTGACATATAACCTTGAGACTTTTACAGCGTTAAAGAATCTACAGTGGAGAATTTAAAATAACATTTAGTAAATATAGTTTATATAAAAAACCAGAACCCCACAGCTAAACAGTTGGGCTGGTTATGATTTGATTTGAAAGAAAAAATTAGTCAGAAATTTTCAGCAGATTTACCGTTTCCTTTGTAGAAAGCTGTTTGGGGAACAAGTTATGTGTTCCTTTATCAAACCCTTCCATCCATAAAAAATCTCCACCAGTCTGGAATTTTCTGCCCTGGAAACGTATATGAATGGGTTTGATTAATATTAAACAGAAAAGTTTAAATGTCGAAACGTCTGCCTTTAACCATCCCTGTACTAATGTAGCTGAATTTAATTAGAAATGAATATATTACCAGCTCAGTGCAACTTTTCCTTGATACTTCAGGTTTCCTGTGGGTTAAAGGTTATATTCCGATGAGATTGACAAATAATTCTCAATTATGTGCCTCAAGCACCCCGATTCTACATGTTTTAGGTGTCTTCTTGCTGACATGAATGAGGCTTTGGCAGCACTGGATATTGCAGTTACTCTCCTCCTCCAATTATTTTTCACTGTTTTTTGGAAATTAGGCTTAAGCTAGACTGGATGGAGAATCTATGAACATAAAAAGCAGCTGGAGACTCTTCAGTGGATTCATGTTTTGACTGGGCCATTTAGTCACACAATCTGGTGGCAAATGTTTGGGCATGTGGTGATGTTAGAATAAAAGTGAATTAATACAAATGCACAAACAAATGCAGGTTTTCAAAATGGGATAAAGTTGAAACTATATGAATACTTTTTAAGGCAGAGTGAAAAAGAAATGATCAATCAGTTATTACCAGTTATCTTTACTTGTGTTATTTCACATTTAGTGACTGATTGTTTTGATGTTTGGTCCGTATTGGATGATGAGCCGTCTGATGTTTTCTCCTTGTAGTGGAACAGCCATATCGGCAAGAGTTGATGAGATAGAAATGGAGGATGGAACTAAGATCCAACTGGTTTCTGTTGCCTTTCCTGATGGAAACGTTATTCCTGCCCAGGATTGCAACCAGGTGAAGGTCCAGAGTTAGTCACTTTTAACTGGCCACATCCAAACAAAAACACAACTTTAGTGTAATTTACAGCGAGGTTTAGTAAAAACCAGACTAAGAAACAGATTTAATTTTAAGTTTTAAGATATTATATATAGAAGTTTGGTATAATTTCATGTCCATTTTCTTGCTCATTAGATCTGTAGAAAAGCTTAATATGTGCTCTGCATGAAGCAGACAGATTTAGCTCATAAATTTATCTGACGTTCCTTTAAAGATCATATTGTTAAATCTGTTCTCACTCAACTGCAGAAAGCTGATGTCACCTCTCTGCTATGTAAAGTGGCATTCTGCTCTGCTGTCCCTGTGTCGCTCTGCACAACCATTACCTTCAGTGACCACATGGACAACAGGTAACCTGGATCTCTGTAGGTTTAAATGTTTTCGAACGCTTTAATCTCTTCTGTGTTTTTCTATCTCTGCAACTTCTTACCTCTTCAGATTCAAGATCGAGTTGTGTGCTGTCGCTGATAACTGCCTGCTGACAGTCTGGCCCTACATGGCGCTAAATCGCTCTGATCCGCAGATAGTTCTGAAGACAGGTACGACGGCGCTGTTAGAGCTTTAAAAACATGGAAATCGATTGAATCTGCTCGGTTACTTGTTCAACTAAGAGTAACTTTTGTTTTGAAATATTTTACAAAGGGGCCACAGCTGTGGAGGCGGTTCTTAAAAGCGTCCACACATCAAGCTCTGCATCTGGCCTGATTACATCATCAACCTTCTCATTGTTTGATCCCAACAGCTCAACATGTAGCACAGGTCTGAAATGTCTAATGTGTGTTTGTGTTGATTTGATAGGTTTTTGGTAAGAAGTGAATTCATTTTTAAATCCAAGACGTTTCCCAACACAATCGAAAACTCATCTAATCTTTAATGTCTTAAGTGGATAAAAACAGTTTCTGCAAAGTACTGATTCAGGGCAATAAGTAGATTTACACCCAACTTTTTAAAGATTTTTATTGGTTATAATTTAAAACCTTATATATTTTTTTCATTACTTTAGTGCTACTTTATGTGTCTGTTACCTAAAATCTCAATTAGATACATTAGAGTCATGTATTGTAAACTAGACCTATACAGATTTTATTTTGTCATTTTGTATACCCAAGTGTAAACAAAAAGAAATTTCATTAAGTACAGCTCTCTAGACTACTTCATTTTTTAAAGTTTTTTTTTAAACTAAAGTCTGTCAGTATTTATTTGTGGGTTGAGGACCCAAAAGCAGAGGCAGGGAGGGAGAGATGAACTTATGGTTGATTTAATGAAGAGTAACTGAAAAAACAAAGTCCAAACAAACAGGCAACCAAGAATCCAAAATCCGAAAAAAGAAAACAAAGTCCAAAAAAAACAAACAAGAAACCAGGAGTCCAAAATTCAAAACATGAAAAAATAAACAGAAAACAAACCAGAAAACCACAGAGACATCAGGGAATCAAAACTCAAGGAGGAAGGCTCAGAGAGACGAAGTTGGAGCATGTAAGACAAAGTAAGACAAGGACCCAGCAAAGAGGAAGTGAAAAGAGAGGGCTTTTAAAGGAGACAGAGACAAAGGGGGGGCTAATGAGCAGATAGGAAACGGGTTAACACAGAGGCAAAAACAAAAACAGGAGCTTGGGAAAAGGAGAACACGAGAGGGCAGCAGAGGGCAACAAATGAAAAACCTGGAAGACTGACAATAATTAGAAAATACAACAAAATAATCATTAAACCACTAAGACTAAAAAAACAAGGAGAAAATAAAACTAAACACTCAAAAGAAAACATAACAGAACCAAGACAGAAACAGTTACTAGGAAAAAAAACCAAAGAACACAATGAACTAAGAATTAAACCATAAACAATAAGAAACAAGGAGAAAAGCAAAACTGGATACTCAAAAGAAAAAACATAAAAGAAAACCGAAATCTAACAAAGTCATTTTTAAACTAAAGTTCAAAGGGTTATGAATACTGCAGCAAGAATTTCTTCTTTTTCCGAGGAAGCCGTGTGCACCTTGTTGCCATGGCGTCAGTGGGTAAAGGTAACTCAGTCATGGTTAAGTCCATCTGAGTTGTTTTACATGATAAGCCAAATAAGGCTGCAGGGAATCAGTCCGGATGGTTCTTATTTTCCAAAGGAAAGTTTTATTTCAATTAAAACTAAAATGTTTGTATCTTCACCTTCCTTGTTCAGACTCCGTCTCGTATAGCACCAGTTTGAGTGAACAGGCCAGCAGAAATACAAACATCACTCCTACAAGAGACGCTCCAAGCAGGCTTAGCTTGCCAAAATTCCCTGATTCCAACTCAGAGGAAGGTCTGTATTACGAGCACGTATTACTGGCTACAGAGAGGTGGTTCAGCCTCTTTGGATGGCCCGGTGGACCTCACCCCATGTCCATACCGCACACACTACGAAGGTGATATTTTTACACTTTCCACCTGAACCTAATTGTTTTACAGCCTCTATTTAAGCATTTACCTTATTGTCTCCAATCAGGGTGTCGGTAAAAACAAACCCCTCCATTGGACGGCGAGGCAGTGTTAGCCGAAATAAAGACACAAGGTTGGTGTGAATGGCATTGGTTGCTAGCAGATACATTTAAAGAATAATACCATTGGTTTGTCTGTGCTGGATTTGTATTGCAGGTCCGTTGTGGACATGCTTCATCATCTGACTGGCAGACGGATCCCTGGTATCCCTCAATGCCAAACATTTTCTGATGATATACACCAGCGCACGACTCAGCTGCTACAACAACATCGAGCTATACTCGCCTTTCTCAGGTAGAGTGATGCTGCGACATGCATGGATACTAGTTCTGCTTGTCATACATCTTAGATAAAGCTTTTCTAATGACACTGTATGTTACTGATACATCTAGATACAATCCAGTGTAAAGGGGGCTAAAATTACATATTTTTATAGACAATTTTTAAACATGATTAGCTTTTTCCTGTTTACCATCGTGTTTCTCTGTCACACAAAATCTTCCCACAATATAAGTGACAATGTGAACAAACAAGGTGTCAGGGTTGTGGTTGAGGTTTGAGGACCCAAATGCAGAGGCTGAGGAGATTTCTTGCAGTTTAATGGGGGAAAGACAGTAAACAAATGCAGGAATCCAAAAAAACCAACTAATAATGTAAAAAAAAAAACAGAACTATGGAGACATCTGGGGAAAATAATCATGAGGAGCCAGGGAGAGACGAGGTAGGTGGACAACTGCACGAGAAGACAGCAAAGACAAGGAACCAACAAAGAGTGACAGCAGAGGGCGAGTATATGTAGCTGACTGAGACAACGGCGGGGCTAACGAGTGGATAAGGAGCAGGTGTGTGAGGAGATAACGAGGAAGCCAAGGGGAAAGGAACACACACAAGAGGGCAAAAGAGGACAACAGAAAAACCTGAGAACTAATATAAATCTAAAAACTACAACAAAATAGGAATTAAATCATTAAAATTCGAAAACAAGGACACAACAGAACCAAGACCATGACACAAGGGTTGTTAATCCATTTTTTTTTTTATGTCTTCAGGGTGCAGGGAGCCTTTCTTTGTCACATCAGACCGGAGTATTTGCTTGATACCCTGGAGTTTAAGCACTGGTGCTCCTTGCAGGTACAGATATATAAACACACATTTGTTCCTAAACCATTACTGCAATAATTCAGGTGCTCTAACCTACCTGTGAATCGTTGGCCTAATGTGTCTGATGTTGTGTTTCTCAGGCAAAAGATACAGAGAATGGCCTGGACTGTAATTTTGTAGATTACGAGTGTCTGAGCAAACAGTCATGGACTGATGTGCTTCTGCAGATTTATAAGGTGAAACCATGGATGGCATGTGTAGTTTCTCATCTACGTTTCCATTTCATTTTTTTAAATCCATTTTAAAATATGTTATATAGTTAAAATATCTCATCAGTTGCTAACTAAGTTTATTGAACATATTCAGGTTCTGGTGTTGAGATGTGTGCCAGAAGAAGGACTGAATACGCCTCTGAACCCCAGAGAGAGCAATGAATTCCTTCTGGATGGCTCACAGCCTCTGGTTAGTACCGTCTACTCACCACAGGAGCTCCACCTACTGTCATGGCTTAACAGGAACTATCAGAGGATGAGGAAGACAGTGTGGGAAAGAGGTGAGGTTTATGCCTTAAAGTTACACTGATTAACACAAAGAGGTTATTAAAGGTTTTCTTTTGTTGTTGTTATTAAATATTTATTGTATAACTTTGACTTTCAGATGGAGTCCCAGTATCACGCTGGATAGTTAACTTTGATTTGGACTTCACAGATGGACTAGTGCTTGCTGCTCTAATGGCTGCTCACTGCCCTTATCTGGTAGGTAAATCTGTATCCTGTGGAAACGGTGGGAGAAGAAGAGTGGCCTTTTAATAAAAAAATAGCTTTCTAAGTGCTGCAACGTTTCCCCAGTTTTTTAAGATTACAACCATGTTCCTCCCATTATCTTATTGGGATTTTTTTCTTGTAAGCCAGACACAAAGTAGAGAATGATTGTTTAGAGCAGAAGTCTTCAACAGGGGGTCCGCAGTGGTACTTCATGGGGTCGTGAAAGTTTTGGTTGATTACGATTTTTTTTTTATATCCCCCACTGCAATTTTCCACTAATTGAAATGTCTTTAAATGTACATTAACATGAATTCAACACACTGTAGTAAACAGATAAATGGAGGCAGAAGATGTCTTTCAGTCATCAATGCACACATTCAGAGACGCACAGGAGCTCTTTCAAGCTGGGCACCGTTTCATTCACAACACCTGTCCCATCAACCAGGAATCAGAATTAGAAATACTTTAATCATCCCAGAGCGACGTTACTTTCATTTTTCATTTATCCATATGTAATAGAGTGACTATAGGACCAGTTTGATATAACACAATTTCATACTATATATAATTAGGGGATCCCCACTCCATCTCACCATCAGTTTGGGGGTCCTTGGCCTGGAAAACATTGAAGACCTCTGGTTTAGAGGAAGAAAAAAAAGAGAATTAAAGAAAAAAAAATGCTGCTATTAATATTTTAGGAATCAGCTTTTCTGAAAATGAAAGGAGACTCTTAAGGATGATTACTTTTTTCTCAAAAGCGCACTTCATTGTATTTAGCTGTTTGTTTTTCTATCCACTGTAGATAAGCAGCCACTTCAGGAGGATGTACACCTCGCCTAGCAGCCTGCAGCAGATCCTTCACAACAACATTATTGTGGTTCAAGCTTTAACTGTGCTTGGTCTCAACATCGGCATAAAGGTAAAGAACAAAAGTGACATACATTCAGTACTCTATGTGGTGTGTTAATCGGTTAAATCTACTTCACTGAAAAAAGACAAATCATCTTATCAGAGAAGCACAGGGTTACAGGTTTTATATTTAGCCAAAACATTGGACTCAAACTTGTGTGTTTGACTGATGGATTCTGTTAGCCTACAGACCTGTGTGATGCCAACCCAGTGCAGATCCTGCTTCTGTGTGTTCACCTGTATGAGACCCTTTCTCACTACCTGCCATCAGAGACCCTCACTCTGACGGGAGCACTGCATGGATCATTCAGCAAGCAGGTATCACAGACACACATACTCGTTCTGTCATCGTAGTGAGGACCATGTGTTGACTCCCATTGACTTCAATTGATTTTCAGTCATTTTCAATCCATTCTATGCCCTAACACTAAAACTAATCTTAAACCTAACTATTACCAATGCATACCTATAATTTGTCTAATTTTCTTTCTTTGACCTGCAGCTGCACCTGAGAAACCCGTCCTCCAGGTCTCTAAGATACAAGGTCCTGCTTTTAGGAAAAGACGCTCCTTTCTTCTCTGTTCCTGGTGGATCGATGGTCACTATTCCAACAAAGTATGTCTGAAGCATGGCATAATCTGCATTAGAAACAGCTGAACAGAATTAAACATCCAATGTGATTTTAATGTATACATTTTACCACTGCTTCACATGTGAAACTCATTGAACTAATACTGCCTTGTGTAAAAAGAGTCCAAACAAATGTTCCTTTTTAGATAATTAGCCCTGCATCAAACACGGGGCCCTGCTTCAATCATTTGTACTCAACGTCATATTTTTAATGTTACATAAACAAACTCTCTGTTTAACTGAGATTTTATGATAGACCAACACAAAGCAGTGCTTGACTTTGATATGGAAGAAAAATGTAAAAAAAAAAAAAAAAAAAAGATCTCAAAAGTATTGCATGGGATTGTATGCCCCTTACCCAGAGTCCCCTAAATTGATTACAGAGCAACCTTCTTTTTTATAAGTCATCTTTTTTTGGAAAGACAGTTAATAGACAGGTTGAAAATGTGCAAATTAAATGTATTTATACATCAACACATCATGATACCACCACCACTGTGTTTCACTATGGGATAGTAACACCATTGCTGTTTGTTTACATTTTCCACAAACATAAAGAGGCCACATAAATAAAGTGAAAGAAATGCCCTGGTGAGATGATATCAGAAAGGGAATATTTGTAAAATAGTTTGTGTTCTCAAAAAAGCTCAAATGAAGCATCAAATCTGGCACACCATCCCAAATGTAAAAACCAAAATGGGATTGATGACAGGTCTACTCGGTAAAACTTGATCTTTTTAAAATTAATTACTGCAGGCTTATGGAGGACCAACTCTGCCATATTTAAAAATAAATACAGAAATAAATAAAAGCTCAATAAATAAATAAGCATACAATTAATTGCCACCAAATATACAATAAACAAATAAATGTCGGTAGAAATTAAATTATACAGTTCTTTTAATTAGCTTCTTTATTTGCCTTTGTAATATTTACCTTATTTTTTATTTGTATATTTGTATAATCTATAACTTTATTTTTTAATTACTTATATTTTTAAGTATTTATTTATGTGCATGTTATAATATTTTTGTCTGTTTTATTCTTCCTTTGTATTTTTTTACCCTAGTTATTTCTTCGCTGTTAGGACACCCCCCCTCGTCATTTGCAAACAACTAGGGTAAAAAAATACAAAGGAAGAATAAAACAGATGAAAGTATTAAAACATGCACATAAATAAATACTTAAAAATATAAGTAATAAAAAAATAAAGTTGAAGATTAAAAAGGACAAAAAAATATATATTACAAAGGCAAATAAATAAAGAAGCTAATTAAAAGTTATATACATTTATGTCTCGCTGTATAATTTAATTTCTACTTACATTTATTTGTTTATTGTATTTTTGGGGGCAATTAATTGTATGCTTATTTATTTATTGAGCATTTATTTATTTCTGTATTTATTTTTAAATATGGCAGAGTTGGTCCTCCATACAGGTCAACTTCTGGCAGACATAAAAAAAAAAAATAAACTGCCTGTTTTAGGCAGGTCTGATCCTGTTGAATATTGCTTCATCTCCCTCAACTTTCTCAGTTCATTTTTCATTCCAATTTACGGCCAGATGCAGGTGCTGAGAGCACTGAATGCATGAACTGTTCCAGTAGTAATACCATCAGAGTCCCACCTGGGACCACTCAGAAACTATATAAGCTGACATCATCCAAGGCTGTCTTCCGTGGTTTTTCTTTGTGTGTGGTCACCCTGCATGGCTGTTGTACTGTTGTAGGATGCTCTTGCATCTGTTGGCTGGTGATGCTGTATATTGCCCTCCTCAGGTTAAGACTGCTTGATCTTCAGTGGGGGTCTCCACTTTTGCCCTGTTTGCTGTTTGTTGGTGATGACTGTGTTTTCGCCTCCTCTTTGATATAACTTATTAGTCAGTGATTGTAGTGTAGTGCTTAGCTTGGCTTGAGCTAACAGT